CTTGCAACTTTTTCTCTTCGTTCTTGCTCCTCTCTTTTCATTTTTTCAACCAATTCTTCGTGATCCTTTTTTAACTTCTCTTGAAGTTTTTGATCAATTTGCTCACGTTTGATTTCCTTAGTAAAACAGAAATGAATTTTGTTAATTAGTCAAAGTAAATGATGTAGCGAATGGCTATAAACTTAATTAATTCACATACAGCTTCAGATTTATTTTGACTTTCGGTTTTAAACTTTGTCAAGGTGCCTAATAGCACCCCGAATAATCTTTGTCCTCGCTTCTTAGCTTCATTACTAGTCATATCCAATCGAGGTCTTTTGGCCTAATAGAATATAAAACAACATATCAGAAAAAAAAGAAAAAAGATTAATTAAATTTTGAAACAACTATTATGTTTAAAGAGACCTACCTCTTCCGTATTATGTCTAGAGAAATCACTGCTTGCACGTCGCTTCGGTAAAGCATCATTACGACTCGAGCGCTTGGCAGTAGACGTGGAAGGGACCACAATACTTGAGGTTACTACCGTTTGACTTCGATGCATATAATTTAAAAAACATTTTAGCTTACTTTTAAAACACAAGTTAGATTGGAAACTTTGAAAGTTACATAGAAAAAATTACCTAGGAGCATCAATGTTGGTGTCAAGTTGATCAGAGGTTTCTGTTGTCATACTTGATAATTAATATATAATATACAATAAGAGAGTCAAAAAATAAAAAAGGTTTTCAAGGTTTTATGTTTTATTCTGCAACGAATTCAAGAGCCCGTGGCGCAGCAACATTCATTTTCTAGCGCGTGATTGTTTCAGATCGTGTTACATATATCCGACTAAGCGTTTTCCTAAGGGGTTAACATGACGTAGAATAATTATTAAATCAAATATGATTACAGTTAACCCTCTCTACAGTCACCCCCTATATAATCACGGATTTTCCGGATGGATTGAATCGATCATTAGTATTCATTACTATATATATAAAAAAGCAATTAGTATATACATATAGTGAATTCACTATACACAAACAGTCTATCAAGC